GACAGTCAGAAATATTATAATTCAGATCAGTACATTTACATATTTTTGTATCAATAAAAAGGAAGCTGACACACGCAAGACTTTATCAAAGGTGTGAGCATCACAGCAGAGGCCTTTGTGTCAAAGTAGCTGAAGATAAAACACAGAAAAACATGAAGGTGATTTTCCTGGCCTGGGATTTTATAAAAATATTCTGCAGTACATCAAAAACGAAAGAAAACCATTAATCAACATATGAACATTACCTCTGAAGTTACAGCGGTTTTATTAGAGACACGGTTAAGCGTTTTGAATAATTTTAAAAAGTTCAGTATTGAACAGCAGAAATGAGGTTTTCTTTTCGGAAGAATGTAAAAGGGAAAAAAACAGCGGCTGACAGCCTGTAAACAACAGTAGACTTGTGCGTAACAAGCAAGCGAATAATGAAGAAAGGGAAACTGTTCTTGAAGTACAGAGAGAGAGAGAGCTGTGCATCGTGGTGGAAGCAAAACAGTAAAAGTCAGAGTGAATTCATGATGATGTTTATGTGAATCTTCTTTTGCTGCTGCTTCAGTCAATATTGTTTGGAAAGAGATCAAACTAACAGCTTTAGAATCAGCGCATAAAGGGCGTGAACACAAAGCGCGGACCCGCCGACAGATCAGAATCAGTGAGCTGTCGGCTTTCAGCCCCGACCGTGTCCATGCCGTTGGGTGAGAAAGGCGACATCTAAATGATTCTGATCCGCGGGTCGCGCTGTGTGTTTAAGTCTATGTGCAGAATCCGTGTTCCTGCTCTCATTTACTGTCTTAGCTGTTTGGTGGTTCTTGAAATTTTGTGAGATGTCACCAGAGATTCTGGCATTTCGGGCAAAATTAATTTATATTAAAAAATCGATTCAGGATTTTAATGAATCGATTTTACGTTATCCAAGCCAGAATCGATTTTAATCGATGAATCGATTATAAAAACCCACCCCTAGTAACAATGTCTTGGACACACTGTAAAACACTCAAGATGGAAAAACCTGACAAAAAAAAAAGGATTTCATATTGATCTCTTATATCTGATGTAAAATGCATCAGTCTATAATTTGTTTGGCATAACTGAAGCAGTTTATGAAAGTCTGACTTATCACAACTGTGGTTTTAAGACGAATTGAATTGATCCTTTTTGATTCTATGGATCGTAATTTGCAAAATAACCATATTGTATTAAATAGGACTTACTGTCTACAGTTCATTATGTGTTAAAAAGTGAAAAACTACAACAGGAGTGCTATGCTAGAGATGCTCCACCTAGCATCGTCTCCATAGCCTTTATTCTCCCACAAATCGTGACCATAGTAATAAAACATAAGTGCATTTATTAACCATTTAAAAGCTTATACTGAGGCTGCAGAATGGCTCTAAAAATAGTTTTGTCAATCAGAGGTCAGCTCAAGGCAAGAGTTTCGATTTGTCTATTTTAGATGCTATACGAGTCAGCTGTTAAATCCCTTGCAATACTTAAAACTGTCAAACTTTCTTTATTCATTTATGAATTTATTGCAGCTCTTCTGACTGAATCATAACTTTAATAACATTATTTTTCTTCTTTCTCCTCAAGACAGCAAAAGTGACTTTTTACAACCTGGCAACAAAAAGGATTTCATGCCTTGTGTCTGATATGGTGTATAACTCGTTTAGCTTAAGTAATTAATGAATTTCTGAATTATTAGAACTGCTGTTTTTAGACAAATTATAAAATATTTACAGACAAAACTTAAAAATATGAAAGAAAAGTTGAGTTTCTCTGTCTGAGGACTTTGAAAAATTCATTAGGAAGATGGGCGCTGCACCATCAGGCAGAAGGTTAAACTCAAAAGTAGATTCAGAGACAGCCTAAGTCACCACCCCTCCTAAACACAATGTGTTGAGAAGCAGTTCACCCGGCCCTCCCTGCTCTCAGCACGATCCCGGTCTCCCTCTGAGCCCTGGGGACCTGGTATTGATCGGTGCCTCGTAGGTAGTGATTGGACATGAGTGGATAATTTCCTTTGCTGCATTAGAGTCCATTACTGGCCTGCTCCCCGGAAAGCGATAGACATCCTCAAAAAAAAAAAAAATGAGAGAGAAGATTCTTCTTGGAAAAGCAGTCTCCGACAAATGATTCGCCAGCTGAGGCTCCTTGAACTTTATTATCAGGTCCATTTGGAGGATGATAATAGATACTGGGTAACAGCAAAGGAGGATCTGGCATTAACTGAGACGTTTTCTGTCCTTTTCTCAAGCCTGGGGGTGTTGCGTATGTTAAATAAGAAAAACAAAGATGAAATAAAGCTGATATATACAGACACAGAATTATATTCATTCAGAAAGAATCCCAGCTGAGTTTTAACCTTTACAGACTTCCTCCCACGAAGGCCGAGCAGGACTATTCTCAGCTTGAGAGTCTCTCTCAGAGCTCCTCGGGAGCGTTTGTTTTGCTGGGTGAATCATTACTCATTGCCACCGTGACATCCTTTGTTTCATTCTCCTGTTTCTTCTTACTCACTGGGATCCTTTTTCTTCACGTTCGAGTGGAAATTGTGAAGCAGCAAGGCTCTATATTTACTAAAAAAAGAGGGGGGTGGGTAGCTGCTGAATGAGAAACATTGATATGCTGAATATGAACACAAATACACTCCCACAGGGGCATGAAACACAGAAAAAGAGCTTACGCTGACAACTACTCTGGATTGTCATGCATGAAATTCCAACGAGCTTCTCCCATATGGAAAGTCTTTCCTTTTTTTGAAGAAATGGTTTTGATGACTTCCTCAAATTTCGTCCAGCTGGTTAGATATTAAAATGAGGTTCACATTTGAAAATGTCTGTTTTAAATAATGATGCATGTATGTATTTAAAGGTTTATTTAAAGCTTGTTATTTTTGCAGTAGTGGATTAAAACTGTTACACAGAAACGTATTGAAAAAGCTTGTGTCTCAGCCCAGGCTTCATCTGTGCTGTGGAAACTGAGCCAAAATGTTTAAACTCCCCCTCGGAGGGCAGATATACTTGTAAGCAATAATGCAGATTGTAGACTAAGACCCCGTGTTCGATTTAAATCAATAACTGCCCTTTACAATTTATAAAGAGTTGTATCCTGCACAGAACAAATATCAAGTCATCTCCAAAACCATATCTAGAAACCAACTCATTTAACCCACCAGTCTCAGCTAACCTGAACTGGTTAAATTCTAGTAAAATACTTCAGCTTAACTTCATGACATTATTTGTGATTTGCTCAAATTTGATTTGAGGATATTTCTTTGCTGTTTATTTTTAGCATGTAATTAAAGATAATTACACCACCTGCTCGTTATTTACATTTTTTTTAAGCTTAAAGCTTTATTAAAACTGCAAAATTTCTCAGTGTGTTGAAGGAAATGGGGTAAACCTTTAGGCATTACAGGGATCTGAAGCAGACATTAGATTTATTGCTCCTGTAACATCAGATACCCCATTGGTATCCTTTTCTATTCATTTCTAAGGAGGCTATCTTACCCCTCACCTGTATATAAATGGCATCCAGGGTCTACGTAAAGATCCATAAAACAAATACTTTTACTGTCATCACTGTGATCACCAGAGTGCAAGAACGTGTTAAAGAAGCCTGTGACACTAGTACAAGTTTTTCACATAACTGCATATAATTAACATTTGTCTCCCACAAACTCACAGAACCCAGCTTTAGTGGATCTATAAAATTAAAGGTAAAATAAAGTTTAAATGGCTTGTTTCAGGTAATAGATTAACTATAAATTACACAGAGCTACAATGCCAGAGTCCTAAGACTAGAAATAAGCAGCTGGAAACGAGTATAATAAGTCACATTTAACTTCTTGTTAACATACTGAAGTTTAACTTTAAGACCATTAGCTGGCTATTAGAACACTTCTCCACGTGGCCCCAAAACAACCATCAAAAGACACTTTCCTATAATGGATACTCATGGAATAACTAATGAAATGACCTTACCCTGTCAAATGCTCCTTAAATGCAATCAGGACCTTTAAAACAAACACTGTTTGTGACTCTATCATCACCAGAACCCAAGATCAAGAAGTGAGAAAGATTAAAGAACACCATCCAAAGACATTTCACTCAAAGCAAAAAATGAAAATGACTTGTGCATAAATAACACTTACAACCACACCTTCTTTAGACTATTAATGGCTTCCTGTTGTTGCACCCCTAAATTCATTATCAGCCACTTTGAGATCAGGCTTCAGCCTCCTAGGAAACTGTAGCTCTGTTTCAGATAGTTTTTTGTGCTCTTGGCTCTGCATGCTGTTATTAAAAGGTTGTATCCTTAAAATTATGACACAGCTCTTCATGTGCAACGTTTTCTGTTTGGGACAAGCAGCCAATAAGAAAAAAAAACGTTGAGCATTAATTAACTTTACCTCATTAAAGCATTAACTCATAATGCATACACTATTATATATTGTACATATATTTATTAGTTTCAGATGTAGCCATTCTTGTATTTGCTGGTTTGAGTTGTTGTGTTTGCACATTTCTGTTGCTTGTGGGGCTCGCACACAAGAATTTCACTCGCATGTGCTGTGCCAGTGTGCCTGCACATGCGATGTGACAATAAAAGTGATTTGATTTGATTTGATTTGATAAGTTCCCTTTAAATGCTTCTTTTAGATTCATTTTGGATCGGTAAAATTATTAACCACACGTTCCAAGCAGAGGACACCGGAATTCACCATGAACCACCTTTAGAGAACCACAGGCTGAGACCTCTACGACATTTAATAAGTCTATCATTTACAGGCTGAAGTTCCTCTTTAAGTTTCAGAAAGATTTTAACCACCACCACTGATAATGATGGCATTTGTAACCCAGCAGGTGACCCCTTTAACACAGGGAGGGTGCTGTGGGTCGCCACGTCTCAGCACATAAAATATTCTTTGTGGCAGGCGGGCGGACTGGCCAAGTTGCTGCTGCTGTGAGTATGATGCTTCTCATTTCTTTCTTACTGCTGGCTGTGCTGAAGTAGTGCCTGCCTGGGTCTGGAAACTTATGTCCTCCATCATATTAATGGGATAATAATGTGATTGATTGGTCATCCCCCGGGGGAAATGGTCTTTTCTGCTTCCTGAGAGTGCACGACTCATCAGAGAACTTACAGCTGACTTGAAGTGGATTCGTGCCCAAGAGCCCCTCAGCAGGGTGAATGCTCGAGCACATCAGGCGGCTTCCAGCCCGGGTTGGACCGCTCGGAAGATTGTTTGCGTGCCGCTACTCTGTTGCCATCGGCTTTATCGGTGGGGACTAAAGAGGCGGAGGAGGAGGAAGGGTAGAGGGGGATTTGGGTGCTTCAGGACGGCTGAGTCTCGTTGCGATGCATGGAGGCTGCTTGGAAATGCTCCCCGGGTCTCCGGAGCGCATGAGGCGGTTCCAGACGAGCGACGGTCCGCAGCAGCATCGTGGGCTTCCTGCGGCTCAACTGCAGCTCTGCCAGGCTGTCACGCTGTAGGTTCCGTTACAGGAGGTGCACGGCTCGGTTCGGAAGCCACGGAGCGGAGTTATTTTCGCCGAGAGCGCCGTAATCAAGGAGCCTGAAGGCTGCATCGCGTCCCTGCGTCGCAGTGGTGGTGGATACTGTGTGAGCGTGTCGGGCGGCATCTATGCAATTTATTTTCGACTTTTCATTTTATTATGAGCACAGAGGAGGGAGAGGCGGGTCCCGCGTGTGGGGAGGCGAGTGGAGGTACCACCATACCTCACCGCCACACCTGGGAGGAAAGCGAACCTCACGGCTTCCAAGGACGTCCGCACCCCGACGATGAGGACGAAGCCCTGGGAGGAGAGGAGGGAGAGGGGGCAGAGGGCTGCCGGGAGGGCCGGAGCTGCAGGGACGCGTGTGGGGGTGACACAGAGAAATTCACTGTGGAGAACAACGAGGGGAATTTTTCCAGTGAGGACGGGGCTGTCGGGGGGAGCTCTTGCAAGGCTCAGACAATGCATTCAAACTGCAGCAGCGAAACCTGCATCCCCACTCCCAGCTGCAGGATCTGCTTCCAAGGCGCAGAGCAGGTACATGTGGTTTTTAGCTTACTGATGTCAACCAATGTGTGTCCAAGATTGTGTTACCAAATGTGTTTGTAGTGTTGGCAGATTAACAGCCCGGTTTTGTGAGTGGTCGAAGTTGAATTAAACTGAAGGTGAGGGCTCGGTCCTCGCAATGCTTGACCCTGATTGGCTGAATGTAGCAACTCTTCTAATTAAAATTAGGTAAACCTGCTGAGTTCATATCCTGCTGGTTGGACGGATTTCAGTAGCGCAGAGAGCCAATCAGAAAGAAACACACACACACACACACACACACACACACACACACACACAC